GACACATCTGGGGCATCTCAAATTCATAATGGCACCCTCTCTACGACCACCGTAAGTACCACCTTTACCCTAGGTGATACATCTCCAGCATCTTTGAGACAAGGGAGACCCACACCCTTTATCTATTGTGGATTGGTTGATTGCAACAGGGTTCGGTCCTTGAACTCAGTTGGGCCAATCAGAGGTTGATTCCCAGAATTGTGAATTTCAAGGGGTAGTGAGGAAGAGGAAGGGGAATTAAGGAGGAGGATTTGGAAGGGAGGCTGAATGGTTGATTCCCTATTTATATATACCAGAAACTAGAAGAGCTATGGGACAGCCCCACACCCCCCCACCCTGCAACTGAGACACTAGGAAAGCTGGTTTTATGAAGAAAGGATCATCAGTGTGACACACAGAGATGGAAGTGGACAGAAAGTCCTGACCCCTCTGTGGCCCCTGATTCCAGTTCTTTCCTGGAGTCTGGCTGTACTTTGACCATGGGTTTCTTGATTCTTAACATCATTCCCTATTTCCATTAGTTTCCTCAAGTTGGTGTTCTCCACTTGCAATCCACAGTGCTCAACCCATCTTTTACATAAGGAAACAGAGTGAATTATCCATGATGTTGCGGGGGGTGGGGGTGGGTAACACCCAAAGGTAGGAATTTTTGGTTATCACATGTACAGGAGCCAACATTCAGCCATATGGATTGAATTGCATATCTTCCACTAAAATTCACTGTGGGGCTGGAAATAGAAAATCAGGACTTGCTAAAAGGAGAGAAGCAAGGTGCTTTGTTTAAATATCTCTTCATGAACTAGTCAATATATGAGATCTTGATATTTTATTTAAATTTTGGTAGAGGAGATATTTTTTAGTTTTCCCCAGTGTGAGCCTGGTTGGGTTAGGCAAAGGGAGAATTGATTTTTCTAACTCGAGTTTTTATAGCTAAGACAACCACAACACAAAAATAACTGGACACAGGTATGTGAACATCCTGAGACTCCTTAGTATCTCTGTGAATTCTCTGTTTCTCTCTCTGCATTGGCTTTATCCTTCCAACTTTTTCTCCCCTATATGTAAGAATCAAACATGACTGCAGACTCCTTTCTATCCCTGGAAGACACAGTCTGGTTGGCCTGCAGTCCACAGGCCCAGAGGAGATTCATTGCACCAAACACCCATTTTTTAACCAACCGCCAATGGCCAGGGAAGGCTGGGAACTGTGATATGTTCCCCATTTGTGAAGAGCTCACCTCACTCCAAGAACAAAGAGCCAGGGAGAAGGGATCATTGGCATGAAAAAATATTACAGAAGAAGGAAGCGAATCTCTAGGAGAAAAGGAGATAGCAGTGGGAAGACTACCTAATGGAAATCTGCAATACTCTAAATGTCTGGGTGGGTCTCTCCATGCATTCTGAAATTGTTCTCCATTTCCTGCACATGCTAACCAAGATTCATTTGCATTGCACATTTCATCAAAGAAAGCTTAGTTCTAAGTTGTTAATAATGTCCCACACATCAGAATACTAAGGGTGTGGGCTAGGGGAGAAAGTTCTTTGATTAGTTTAGGGAWGAGCATCATGGCTCACTATATACCAATTATTCATCAATGCTCTTTGACAAATTAAAATTAGCCTAACATCAGCTTTTTAAATTATCATGTCAATCATGTCAAGTCTCAAAGAAAAAAAATTAGAGGTGTCATGAGCTTGTTTTTGAAGTGTATAATTTTATGTAGATAGGATGAATCTTATTAGTTGGGGTATAAGGTGTAACAGTTGCCTAAAAGGCAGGGGAATGAACCTAATGGCCTCCATTTTTTAGCCCATCCTCTAATGGGAGTGTTCTGGTTTGGATGTGAGGTGTCCCCCAAAAGCTCACATGTGAGACCGTGCAGGAAGGTCCAGAGGAGACATGACTGGGTTGTGAGAGCCTTAACCCAACCAGTGAATGAACCCTGATGGGATTAACTGGGTGGTGGCTGGAGGCAGGTGGGTGTGACTGGAGGAGGGGCATTGGGGGCGTGGCTTTGGGGTCTCCATTTGTCTCTGGAGAGTGGAGTCTCTCTCTGCTTCCTGATCACCATGTGAGCTGCTTCCCTCCACCACACTCTTCCTCCATGATGTCCTGCCTCCCCTCGAGCCCTGAGGAATGGAGCCTGCTGTCTACGGACTGAGACCTCTGTGACCATGAGCCTCCAAATAAACTTTTTCTCCTCTACAATTGTTCTGGTCAGATCTTTAAGGCCCAGTGGCAGAAAAGCTGACTAAAATAGCGAGACACCGAGTTTATAGGAGGAGTCAATTCTAAAGCCTGTGGATGTTTACTCCCACATTAGGCAGGGTTTTAAAACATAAGCGCCTTCTACACTACCTTTAGCCAAATCTATAACGGCATCCTGTTTTTAGCCACCAGACTGACTTGACTATAAACTGTAAAGGTGTCCAAAAACAAAACACAAAACGCTTCAGTGAAACTGCTTGAGCAAAAAACAGAGGGCTTCTCCTGCCTCCCAGAATCTCTCTTTGGTTTCTGATCTGGTAAAATTCCTTTCTCTGTCCAAGTCCTGAGATACCTCTCTCCACGGAGAGTAAGGGCCAGTGCTAGGTGCTATTCTGTGTACATGCTGTTATTTATTTTTAGTTATACGTGGTAGTGGAGTGTATTTGGTCATATTATATATCCATGGAGTCTAACTTATTCTAATTATGTTCCCAGTCTTGTGGTTGGACAGGATGTGGAGTTTCACTGGTTGTATGTTCATATATGAGCAGAGGAAAGTTCTCTCCCATTCATTCCACTGTCTCTTTGATCTCTCCATCTTTTCTGACAGGTCCCCACCCTTACATGTTCACAGGACCTGTGGCTTCAGTAGGAACCAGCCAGAACTGGTATCTATTTAATTTTTTTGATATTTTATTCTTAATGGATTTTTGACATTAATTATGACTTAAAAAAAACTCTTCAAAATATTATTTATTTTGATTAATGAGTTTCTGAGACCCTGTCACATTCTTCTCTTTTTGTTGTTGTTATACTGGGGATGGGATTGAACCCAGGGGCACTAAACCACTGAGCCCCATCCCCAGCCCTTTTGATATTTTATTTAGAGACAGGGTCTCACTGAGTTGCCTAGGGCCTTGCTAAGTTGCTGAGGCTGGCTTTGAACTCGTGATCCTCCTGCCTCAGCCTCCTGAACTGCTGGGATTACAGGTGTGCACCACGGTGCCCGACTCCCACTATGTCTGTACTTGAGGTGCTCAGCCTTGCATCAACCCTGATTAGACAAATCTTCAGTGAGGGTCCAGTACAGCATCTTAATTAGTGCCTGTCATGCTTCATGGAGATTTCTCCATCTCTAAAACAAGAATGATGACAGAAACAACCTCAGAGTTCTGCTTTCAGAATTGACTGAGATGGTCCATGGTAAGCATTGAGCATGCTTAGCCCAGAATCAGGGCCCAAGGAAGACTATAGGCCTTGCAGCTAGTAATAATAACATGATTGGCAGCTGCAGCAATAGTAGTAGGTAACACCTAGCTACACTCATTAATGACAAGGAAGATCTCAACCCTGGGGTGACCAATCCATTTCGAGATTAGACAGGTAAACAGAGGCTCACCATTCAGTGACCTGGTGTCATAAAGGTCTATGTGCGGTATGCTAGGCACTCAGTAGTCAGAGAAGATGTGCTCACAGAGAGACAGACTGAGTCAGGAGTTTGCTAAGTGGAAGGGAGAAGAAAGGTCCATCTAGGCTCAGGCATCAGTGGGTACAAAGAAACTGAGCTTGGAAAAGGCCTGGTAGGTTTAGAGGAAGATACTTTCTTTTGTTCTTTTTCTTTTTTCTTTTTTTGGTACTGGGATTGAACTCAGGGGCACTTGACCGCTTAGCCACATCCCCAGCCCTATGTTTGTATTTTATTTATAGACAGCATCTCACTGAGTTGCTTAGCTCCTCCCTAAATTGCTGAGGCTGGCTTTGAACTCAGGATCCTCCTGCCTCAGCCTCCCAAGCTGCAGGGATTCCTGGTGTGCACCACCGAGCCAGGCTAGAAGGAGACACCTTCTGCAGCTGGATCAGAGAGGCCTGGTGAGAGCTGTAGGAAATGAGGCCAAGAAGGGAAGCTGTAGTCTGTTGACTAAGAGCCTTGAATACCACGGTAAAGAGGTTGGTTAGATTGGGTCCTGGGATCCATGTGAGATCTAGTGAGGGCTCCGAAGCTCTGTGGTGAGGGCCTCACATGTGGTTTTTACAATGGCTACAGCAAGCAGGATGGACAGTCTGGGGAGGGCCAGAGCCAGGGACCTACTGGGACTCTACGATAGCTTCCAAGTGCTGCAGACTTGGGCTGGATCAGAGCAGCCGTGGAGCAGGAAGGCAGGAGATCTCCAACCCACATTCAGGAGGCTGAGTCAGGATGCTGGGTGGCTGCTAGTGGGGGTGTGGGCAGGAGGAAGAAGAGGTTGATAGTGACTGGGAACCTTCATCCATACTAACTGGATAAAGAATACATGGAGAGCAGGAAGTGGAGGTGTATGTACGGGGTGGGAGGAAGAAGGTAGGAGCCCGGTTTCCAACACATCTGACTTGAAACACCAGGGGAATGTCTAAGTGCATATGTTAAGTAGGTGGTGGGAAAATGTGATCCTAGGATTCGGGAGAAAGGTGGAATCTGAGTTTGGGTAGTCACTAGAGCATGTGGTATCTCTGGGAGGGTACGGGTTGGCTAAAGGCCCAATCAGAGCTGGGGAAGGGACCCCAGGGCTCTTGACCACTGAGCTGCATCTTTAGCCCTCTTTATTTTTTTAATTTGAGACAGGGTCTCACTCAGTTGCCCAGGTTGGCCTCAAACTTGCAATCCTCCTGCCTCAGCCTCCTGAGTTGCTGAGATTACAGGTGTGCACCCCGTGCCCAGCTCAACGTTATCTTTCAAAAGCTTTTAATAATCAGTGTGTTTCCTGGGTTGGACATTTGGCCTGGTCCCCAGCAAACGTCCCCCAGGTTTCCTTACCCTGGCTATTTGGTCTGCCATCTGGAGACGTCCATCCAACTCTCTTCGGATCTGGGCCGCCTGTTCATCCGGATTGTCCAGCTGCACAAAAGCACAAATATACAGACCTTCAGCGTGGGTCACAAAAGCCAACCGACTCACCATGTTTCATTTTGCATGCCCCTCTGGGATCCGTGGACATAGTACACTAGAAGAAGCTTCTTGCCACCAACAAGCCTGGTTTGAGTGAAATCCCAAGTTAAGTTCTTTTGGGTGGAGCGCGGTGGGTTAGAAAGTTGCTAAGAGACACTTGAATGACCTTGTGTGGGACTCATCATCAATCACTTCTGAATTGGTCCCCATAAGTGTTTCTAATGGGGGGGGGCACGAAACACCCCTGATTTGGCCAGGGGTGTTTACAGTGGACATGCAAGGAGGGGGATGACCAGGTGACTATTAGAGATGTAGGAAGCAGACACCAGGATACCCACATGCATTTCTGGTTCCTGGTCACCACTTACTCTGTGGCAATTCCTTAGAATGGAGGGATCTAGGGACCCAAAAAGGGGCCGACTGCTTTGGTTGTCTAATGAAAGAATAAACAAGGCTCATCGTCGGAGAAAATGCCCGTTTGTTGAGGAACAGCTCTGCATATTTATAGAGCCGGGGGTGGTTTGACAGTTATGACAGTTTAACGGTTGAAGGGTTTGACAGTTGGCATGGGGTGCTTYYTGATTGGTGGGTAAGGATCATGTGAGCCAGCAGGGCTAGTCTGATTGGTGGGTAAGGATCATGTGAGCCAGCAGGGCTGGTCTGATTGGTGGGTAAGGATCATGTGAGCCAGCAGGGCTAGTCTGATTGGTGGGTAAGGATCAT